TTTTTTTTTTTTTTTTTTTTTTTTTTTTTTTTTTTTTTTTTTTTTTTTTTTTTTTTTGTATTAGAAAAGAAGGCAGACTGTCGGGTGCTCAGGTTTTTCTTTTTGGAGGGATGGCAAGAGCCTATTTTCTGTTTGGCACCGGAGCATGGTACTTTTGAGTGCTAACAAATGACAAACCTGGATCGGCGCGGCCCCGCTGCAGGAAAGGGTGCAGGGATGGCAGATTGCCTTCTCGAGGGCGTGGCGGAGGGAACTGCGGGGGATGGGGGGCCGCTGTCACACCGATATTTTGCAAATCCCGTCTAAAATAATTCTAGGGAAGAAGGAGGTGTGCACGGAGAGGAAGGGCGGTCTCGCCTCTGGGTTAAGCACACGCGGAGGACGAGGAGCAGTAGGCTCTCCGCGGCGGGGTGGGACACACGATACCCTCCTCTTGGGTAGTGAGACCCGCTGTGATGTGCAGCTGCTTCGGATAACGGGGGGGATGTCGGCCGTGACCCCAGGATGATGTTTCACAGTGGAGGCGGAGTGAAGCAGTGTGCTCCAAAGAGATTTTTATTATTATATATATATATATATATATATATATATATATATATATATATATATATATATATATATATATATATAAAATAAAGCAGGCTATGCTTGATAGGGTGGCCCGAGCATGTGCGGATTCTGGCTAGAGGGCTGAGCAGAGAAAGGTGGAGGGCCTCTTTCCCATAGCCAGTCGCCTTCTTTGGGATGTACTGAAACGGCCTGGTCAATGGTTTTGGGAAACAGTGACAGGGATATCTGCAGGGAAGGGAGAGATGCCCATTCGGGACTCCCCGGCCGTGGGGGGCATCCCCAGGCGTCGGGCTTCCTTTGGAAAGCAGCGAGTCGGCACAAAGTGGCCCAGTATGCCTGTCCCGCAGGACCTATTGGCAGGTGCTACGGGAGGCAGCGAGAGAGCAGCACAACCCTCGGAAGGAGCAAGCCCGACTTCTCGTCTGCTCGGGGTGATGCCACTCACCACAGACTATCTGATCAGGGCAAGGGGCGACTGTCGCCCCTCAAAAAGCACCACTTCCTATACACACATCATGTGTTGCACTCTTCAAGAAACTTGGTTAATCCTTCAGGTTTGCTGCTGCAGAGGTAGTGTAAGTGAGCAAAAAAGAAAGGGGGGGGGGGAAGCAAAAGGAGGAAAGGACCCAGCATCGCTAATAAGAAATGAGGCCTGGCTGGGCACCACAGGTTATAGAAGCCTGGCACAGTACTGCCGTGCCCATCCCGGCTGTGAGAGCCTGGGGGACAGCAGGGCTGCGGCACGTGATTAAGGCTGGGGTGGTCTCGGTGTGGCTGTTCACATTCCCTTTACAAAAGGCCAGGCCTGGGAGAGGGGCCGCCCTGACAGCTTCAGCCGAGGGATACACGCAGAGACTGGGGGGAACCCCAATGCAACCCTCTCGTTTTACAGCATTCCAGCTAGAAGGTATCCACAGGTCAGAGCTGGGAACGACTAAAAAGGCTAAGAACTGGGAGCAAGAACTACATTTTTTTACAGAGCTTTTCACTGCACCCTGTGTAAGTCCACACTTACTGTCCTCCACCTACCCCTTTTTTTATGTGTGTGCGCATATATATATATATATATATATATACACATGTATGTAAGTGAGCACATTTTTTAATATAGATAGTGCCTATTGGAGCTTGACAGATGAAACAAGCACCTAATGTTTGCTTAGGAAAACACAGACTGCATACCTCAGCTCCCCAAATTACATGCAACCTGGCCACTCACAAAATAGTAATAATACCATGTATTGGAGTTTATATTATATTCTAACACACACTCTACCCACACCATCCTCCTCCCCGTTCCGCCTCCCTCCCCACCAGAAACAGTGTGTGAAAGTTGTCGCGACTGATCTCCAGAGGAACTTTCGTTTTCCGGAGGGGACAAGAGGACTGCAGAAAAGAGGAGAACCAGCTCCGTCCCGGGTTGGATTGCACGAGGGAGGCGGGGATGGAGAACAGAGACACTGCAAGCGGGGGGGAAGGGGGGGGGAACAAACAAACAAACGAAAAAACCAACGCCGATAACGACCACCAAAACCAGTTTCTGAATCCTCTCAAAACTTTACCACCTTCAGATCCCAGTGTGGAGCCCGGCCTGGGGAAGTGTCTGGTGTTACAGGGGAAAATTAAGCCCCCGAGTCCCCAGCACAGTCTCCCTTACGCATTCCAGATCTGCAGAAGTTAAAAAGGAATCAAAGCTAATTTCCCAATTAAATGTGAGTTGTGGTCGTTTTTAAGTGTCCCTGTAATTTGTGGGGGAGAGGAAATGCCTCTCGTGGACTGAACTGTGCTTTAACCTGGTCAGCTGAGGCATGAGGCTAGTACTTTTACTGATGGATGCCTAGCGTCCCGGCTCCCCTCCCCAGCAGGCTACTGCATAACCACAGGACGTCGCAGATGGGTTTTTCCTCAGGAATCCAGCAAACTTCACCAGACCTTCACCCACCCGCTTTTTCTAAAACCCACTTTTAAAAATTGCTTTCCCTCCTCACAGAACGAATGAAAACCACCAAGCGTTTCCAGCCAGGCGACGGGAGAACATTCCTCCCCGCTGCACAACCCCCGCTGCCCTGACTAGCGCAGTTTGAGTGTTGGGGCCCTCTCCGGATTGCAGTTGAGCCCAGCCCGGCTGCGAAACATCTGATTGCTGTCCCTGTAATCTGTTGACATATCACCCAGATAAGCAGGCCGCAATCGATCTTTTCATTAGATGATCAAATAACAAACAGAGCAGGTGAAAGAGAAGACCGTTAGAGTGCTTGCACTTCCCCATCCCGGCGCCCTGTCTCTGCTGCTAGGTCTGGGATGTGGGGTCGGTGCCTGCCTTACCCGCGTGGGTCACCTCTGTGAGGCATGCTCATTATCTGGGGAAGGAGGCAGTGGAAATACCCACACATATTTCTATAGGGGGAAAGGGGAAGGGAAAGGAAGGGAGGGGGGAGAGAAAATCTCCGACAAAATGAGGACTAGATGCCTCTCACTCCTCCCAAATAACGGGATGCCTAAACTGAATGATGCCAATGGGTGAGGCGGGGAGGGTAGTCTGGGGGGGGGGGGGGGGGGGGGGGGGGGGGGGGGGGGGGGGGGGGGGGAAGGTTGGAGAAGGTCTCCCCGCCAAGTGTCGCGGCCCCACACCCCTCCCTCCGCCCCGAAACCACGAGGAAGGGAGCGGCGACTTGCCTGGGGTGGCCCGAGAAGTCGGGGCCGTCGGCAGGGTGCCCGGTCCGGGAGGAGCCAGGCTGCGGCTGCTGGGTCCGTCTACCTTCTCTCAAGCTTTCTGCCTCTGTGTCTGTGCCTCTGTCTCTCTCTCTCTCTCTCTCTCTCTCCTCCTCTCTCTCTCCGTGCTTTGCTCTGCCTCTTTTACTCCGTGTCTCTTCACAGTCTGGGAAGTAAAATCTAGATGATATACATACCGAGCTTGCTTTTTTTGTCCTATTTAATCTTATTCGTTTCACCTTTTCACTGACCAAAAGACAGGACTGGGAGTTTATTGGGAAAGAGAGAGAGAGAGAGGAAAGAAGCCTACTGTTGCATAGTCAATAACATCCTTTTTATCAATGCAATATACAACAGAGACGGCTTGGTCAAGGCACTCATTGAAAATCTCTTCATTATTTCGGGGCAAATTCAGGCGTTTATTCTGTTCTTAGAAATGATGAAGGAGTCTTCTCTCCAGGCGGCTCCCAGCCTCAGATTTCAGAGCTGACAGGGAAAGAAAAAAAAATATCGTGATCATGATACATCAACGTTAGGGGGCTTTTTTTTTCCTCTTTACTTTTAATTAAAATAATATTACTTTAAAAAAATTAATAATAACAATAAAACTTCTGTCGCCTATTTCATCCCCTTTCTTCCTTCCAGCAGGTTTTTCATACGGCTTCTAATCTGATTATAAACTTTAATGGGAGCTAAGAGCCGGGTAGGTTGTCCAGTAGGGCAGGTTGCGGATGTTATTTTTGGAGGGTTTTTTTTTTTTTGTTAGGGTGTTCAGTTTTTACAGTCTGTTTCTTCTTTGTCACATTCAGCCTTTCAACCCCGTTTCAGACCTCTCGCAAAGGGAAGCTGCCGGGAAAGCAGGCTAGGGAAAGACGTAGAAACTGGAGAGAAGGGGTTTTCTTTCCAACACAGTTTTATATTGAAAAAATTTTAAAAGATTTTTTTTTTTTTAAGAGAAAAGGAGAGTGAAAGGCCGTAGACAGCTGCGGAGGCCCCCCCAGGGCTCCCCCGGCCCGGCGGCTCGGTGCCCACTAGATGGCAGCCGGCGCCAGCGATTCCTGCTCCGCCGGGGCCGAGGCCGCACCGGGCAGCGGAGGGAAAGGAGGGGGAGCGACACCCCACCACCACTCCCCCGCATTCCCCGTACCCGCTCTGCGCGACTCACTCTGGGACATCAGGGAACCTGGGGGAGGGCATTGCGAGCTGGCCGTTTGGGTCTGTTCTGACCGCTCACATATCCCGAAAGTAAAATTAAAAGGGTGGGGACAAAACCCCCCCGGGGGAAGCGCGGAGTCCGTCAGGGAGGCAGATGGGCGTGTTAGGTGAGGAATGAGGGGTGAGGAAGGAGGAACAAGGGGCAAAAATAGCCCAAGGTGAGATGGGAACACGTATGGGGATGTGAATGTGTGCGTGGACGCTCACGCACGTGTGTTCAAGGGCGCGCGCATACGGGCGCCGCTTCCTCCGTGCAGGGCGAGTGTTTTCTTCTCCATCATTAAAACCCCTGGATTGACTTTTGCAGTGGGAAAGCAGGAGAGAAATCCCGATTTCAGACGTGGAGGTGAAAAAAACCAAAAACCTCACACCAACTTTTCACGGGGAGCCCCCTTTAATTCCCCCTTTCTCCCTATAGCAATGCATCCTCTTCAGTCCATGGGTGTGCTGGGAGGGGGGCGGGTAGAAGGACCGTAGACGACCCATGCTAATCAGATCTCAAAGTAAATAGCAGCACAGGGTGAGCTCAATGTAAATTGTGCTTGTCAGAAGAATCCCCCCTCCCTCCCCCCTCTCTCCTCCCCTCCTTTCCCCATCCCAGTCACTAGGTAGCGGTGAATTTAAAAAAAAAAAAAAAAAAAAAAAATAGGGGGGATGGAAAGCTAGGGGTGGGGGGGTAACCAATGGAGTGAAGGAGGCTTGGCTAACCTTAGCCTCCCATTTTCTCTCCCCCCAATTCAGGGCTCTGACCAGTCAGTCGCCTTTGATTATCAGTTGCCAGCAGCCCTTCTCTTGGCTCCTTGACACGAGCTCCATATAAGGCAGCGATCTCCATAGAAACGTGTCAGTTTCAATAGTAGTGTCAAAGTTCACTATATACAGACATTCGCGCAGATCCCCCTTTCGGAAACATTGCTCTGCTAGGCTTCCCGTTTAAACGCATTCATTTTTTGGGTCTCTCTCTCTCTCTCTCTCTCTCTCCCTCTCTCTCTCCCGTCTCTCCCCCCCTCCCCTTTCTTGCATATTCTATTAGTTTTTTGGCCCCCCCCTTCATCTCCCTCTTCTCCTTCCTTTTCTTCTTTTTTCCACCCTTCCTCCTTGTGTCTTTCGCTTCATTTCTGCAGGAGAAGAGAAGAAGAGAGAGGTGAAACTGAAAAAAAAAAAAACCGAACAACAAAAACAAAAAAAAACTCGGAAAGAAAGAAAAAGGGGGAAAACAGAGAGAGAGAATTGGGGGGAGGGGGGAAAGGTCCGAAGAGAGAAAGAGAGAACGCGTTCACATCTTAATACCGTTACTATTTTGACCATTCTTGCCTATTTTTTTTTTTTTTATTTTGGGGGAGGGCTTCTCTTCTGGCTGATGAGTTTTTACCCGAAATACTTTTTTTAGGCAAACAAACAAACAAACAAAAAGAATCTTTTTGACGGCGATTTCCTCCGATTTTCTTTTTTTTTTTTTTTTCCTCGCAACCGGCATCGTGCACTCTCACTGGAGAAGAAGAAGGAAAGGGCAAGAAAGAGCAAAAGAAGAGGATTTATTTACTCGACCTACTTTGGATCTCTCTTTTTCCTGCAAGTGTCATTATTATTCCCGTTCTCTATTTTTATACTTCGCCGTGAATTCGTCTCCTCTGCGAATTTAGTCACATCCGATTTTTTCTGCGAATTTTTTTTTTTTTTTTTAAAAAAAAAAAAAAAAAGGCGAGAGAGAGCGCGAGCGAACGAGAGAGACAGAGAGCGAGAGAGAGCAGATCGGGAGAGAAAGAGCAGCGACCGGCAACCTCCTCCTCCTCCTCCTTCGCCGCCGCCGCGACAGGAGATCAAACTGCCTCAGCACCCCGCCAGCCACTGCCGCGCTCCCCAGCTCCGCCACCCTGAATGGCTGACGGCGCCCTGCCCTGGACCTGGCCCCCGGACACCTCCATGCTCTGATCGCCGGCGGACGGCTCCTCTCTCCACCTCCCTCCTCCCCGAGAGCCCGCATCGGCACCGGCGGCAGCGGCGGCGGGAGCAGCCTCCGCGGGAGCGGCGGCGGCCGGGCCCCGGCGGCGGCGAGCGGCGAGCGGCGACCTCCTCCTCCTCTTCCTTCCCCTCCTCCTCCTCCTCCTCCACCTCCTCCTCCTTCTCCTCCTCCTCCTCCTCCTCGGCGGCGCCGCGGCTTCCTCTATGCCTGCGCATCCTCCGCGCTCGTAGCGCCCGGACCGCGTGTGCCTGTGCCCGTGCGTGTGTGCGAGTGCGCGAGTGGGGAGCCGTGTGCCGGGCGTGTGCGCGCGTGTCTGCCTGCGTGTGCGTGTCCGGCGTGTTACTCTCCTGAATGCCTCTCCCGACAGCCTTGTTTGCCGTTTCTGATTTTGCAACTTGAAGTGGCGGCGG